AACACTTCATTCTTATGATTCTCCCTTCTTATAGGGTGATACGATTTTCTCGGTGGAGAACTAAACAGACTGCATGTTAGAAAGCAAACGTAGCCCTGGCTGGTGTAGCTCAGTTGGTTGAGCCTCACCCCATGCACTGAGTGGTCTCTGGTTCAATTCCTGGTCAGGGCATATGCCTGGGTTACAGGCTTAATCCCTGGTAGGGGGTGTGTGCAAGAGACAGCACAGGTGTTTCTCTCCCTTTCTCTCTAACATCAATAAAAACTTATTCAAAACAAAAATGCAGACTATATTTGGGGTGCCCACTTTTTAGAGGAATTGTCCAGGGAAACCAGTAGGTCCAGCTCTTCGAATGTGAGGTTGTAACAATTTTGGCTCTTATGTTACAGGGAAGCTCAGTTTGACTGCACTTCCCCCCAGTCACCACTCGATGATTGAGCGATCAGACAACTGCACCGTAGGCTCTTGGGATCTCATTGGATGATTTCGCTTCTCAGATCTAGCTCTCTGTGTTTCCTATTGATTTTTATGAATTGTTTGTCCACTCTTCTCTCTCCTTCCAGAGGAAATTAGTTTATGTGGTATACAACCATGACAACTGACTAACAGACTATTTGTAACCCAGAGAAATTTAAAACTTAAACAAGCAATTGAATTATATATTTTGGGACTGGATCCCAAGTAAAGTAAGATATTATTATTCCCATTTTATATATTAGGTGTAGAAGCCCAGAGATAGTCACTATTCATTGGTAATTTTACCTAAAACAATTATTAAATGGAAGTGGTTTAATGCAGACTGCCATGCCTTTAAAAGCACCTGGTACACATGTTCATTTGCAGTGTTAGTTATTACAGGTGACCAATCTGTACTTAACATGATACTTTTACTGGTGTGGATATTACTCCATATTTCAAATACCTGACATCTTGTATTGATAACTATTAGATCTGGACAGTTTAAGCCTTCTAGGACAGTAAGAAATTGGATCTTCTCATACAGCTCAATTGGCGAATCGTCTGACAATACAGGGTCATAATGAATTATCTCCAGCTTAACCATTTTTCTTGCCATGGATTTCCATGCTCTATAAAACAGCAACCTAATGTGTATTTACTATTTCCCTCAATGTCAATAAAATTAAGAAGAGTAACAATATCTTATATGTGGTAAAGAGATCACCTACCAGAAAAGTTGCAATTGGTTTAACTTAGTACTCACTCCTTCAATCTACAGCTCTCTTTGGAAGCTACGTGCATACAGGTAATGAGGTGTCATTTGGAAGCATCTTGCAACTTCTCTGATGAGACACGTGAATGATAGCTCCATTTCCCATGTTGGTTTGAAGCATGTCATCACAGCTGAGTATTCACTCTCTTCTTGCTATAATCAAAGAGAAATGTTAGCATAATTCAATTCTAGGACAAAAGACCACATCTAAAGATGTGGTTGTAACCAATTCTAACCGTTAGATATTAAAAAACATGAATCAGAAAACAATCAGGTAAACATTAGCTTCTTCAATTAATCTGCAAATGTGTAAGCACATTCACTGTTTGTACCAACTGATATGTGTGTGTGATCAATTAGTGGAGGAAGATCTAATTAATACTATGTAAAAGCAATATTTGAAGGAAAAATAACTGAAAATTCTCCAAGTGAAAAAGAAGATGAGCTTGTGGGTGAAATGTACATCCTGAGTATAATACAGAATTAATAAAGCAAATTCTATACTTAGACAAATCGGGTACAATTGCAGAATAGACTTATTAAAAGACTTAAAGTTGAGTATCTATGGTAATAAAAATGGGTTAAATGCTAATGGACTAAACCCATATTTTTAACAAGTGTGTATTTGTATGTAAAATTAGAAAAAATCATACAGATAAGGTACTTATAAGTACTCTCTAAAATGAAATAGTGCAGTGAGTTAAAAATAAAGAGATGCAAAAAAGTACCCATGTCTGTACTTAAAAAACAAACAAACTTGTGCACCAATATTAATATTAAATCTATTAGTATCTAGGGCAAGAGAGTTAATGCTAATAAAGACCTACAGAGAAGATATTACGATCATTATTTGTATGCATATAGCTTCAAATATAAGATAAAAATTAATAGAATTAGATACTATCACACTAGAAACTGGTGGATTAAGCAGTAACACTATTTAACAAAATTAGGTAACAAGACCTAATGGACCCACTTAATGATTGTCTGAAATAAATAAAAGAATATTTATTATTCTCAAACTGGAGGCCCGATGCAGGAAATTCTTGCAAGAGGAGGCCTTCCTTCCCCTGGCTGCCTGCACTGGCTTCCCTCCAGCACTCAGGAGCCAGGCTTCCCTGCCAGCCCCGGCTTCGTTTGGAAGGACATCTGGGAGGATGTCCAGTCCAATTAGCAGATTACACTTTTATTATAATAGATATACAGAAAGCCATTGAGGAGGAGGTGACTATTGTCTGTCCCAGAAGCTGAACCCAGGACAGAATGGAAGTTGCTTTCTGCAAACCCCTTTAGAGACTGTCTGATCATAATTGATGATCATCCTGACAAAAATCAACACCACGCTTTTTCTCCTGCTGTGTGCTGGTTCCTGAAATAGGAATTGTCCTGACCTGGGCAAGCACGTAAAGTACTTTCCGTCCCTGATACCATTCACGTACTCATACCCATGACTACCACCCCAATGACCCTTCACACCGTATAATTCTTGGTGCCTGCTTAGCACTGAGGAGATCCATTTCATCTTGTAGCTGCCCAAGACATGCCTCAAATATAAGCTTTTCTTAATAAACTCTATTACTTTTCAGGCCAGAGTGACCAGTCTCTTTCTTAAAGAGGTAGATTTTTAGTCTAGGGGCTTTTCCCTTGTTTGAGTATACTAACATCCATTTTTAAAACTATTTCAAAAATGGATGTTAGTACCATTTTGGCTCAGTGATAGAGCATCAGCCTGCAGACACAAGGATCCCTGGTTCGATTCCGATCAAGGGCATGTACCTTGGTTGCGGGTACATCCCCAGTGGGAGGTGTGCAGGAGGTGGCTGATTGATGTTTCTTTCTCATTGATGTTTCTGACTCTCTATCCCTCTCCTTTCCTCTCTAAAAAAAATCAATAAAATATATTTTTTTAAAAGACAGAAAATAATAAAATATACAATCAAGAAACAAAAGGACCAAATAGTTCTATAAAAGAATAGGAAAAAACAAAAACAAACAAACAAAAAAAACCAAATTAAAAAAACACCTCCTACTAATCAAGCAAAAAAGGGCAGAAATAAATAATACTGGCAACATAAAGAAGCCATACCAGGTGGAGATGTTGAATGGCCTCTTATGTAATAGACAAACATGTAAATGGACCATCCCTCCATTACATCCACAGCCAATCAGGAGTGAGTATGCAAATTAACAGGACAAAGATGGGGGGCTAATTTGCACATGTATTTCTGGAGCAGCCAGGAGGGGCAGGACGCCTGCTATGAGGAGGAGGAGGGCAATGGAGGAAGCTACAAAAGTGGTGCTCAGGCTGGGAGTGAGGACTTGCAGGCTCCCAGGCAGCCAGGAGCGAAGCCAGGGGCAGGAAGGCCTATTCTTGCACGGATATCATGCAATGGGCCTCTAGTATTAAATGTTTTGAATAAATTTGAATCTAGCTGACATGGGTAATTTTATAGTAATGCTGCATTACAAGTATTATTAATTTAAGCTGATTAAACTGAGCCATCAAATAAACTGAGAATTCCCTCAATGTAAAGAGGAGCCACATTTGATCCACAGGTAAACTAAGTCTATAAAATAGCAGAATAGTTTATACAAGGAATATTAGTAAAATTGGATAGTACATTAGCTTTTGTATCAACAAGCAATATTGATATAATGTGATAACCATACAATTCCCCCTGAACCCATGATTACCATTTCTTGTATCATCCCCACTAGAATTTTTAAAAAAAAATATATATTTGATTTTTTACAGAGAGGAAGGAAGAGGAATAGAGAGTTAGAAACATCGATGAGAGAGAAACATCAATCAGATGCCTCCTGCACACCTTCTACTGGGGATGTGCCCACAACCAAGGTACGTGCCCTTGACTGGAATCGAACCTGGGACCTCTCAGTCCACAGGCTGATGCTCTATTCACTGAGCCAAACTCATGGTCCGTCAAGTTCTACAGTACATGTCCCCTCCCACGAAGACTTCCGTGTTCCATGTTCTTCACTGTTTTCTGTGATCCTGTGACTCTGCCTTGCATCATGTGTTTGTGGGTATGCCCAATCCCCCAGCTGGCCTGCTGCCTGGCTGTTGTGCCCCATTTGGAGGCCAGCAGAGTGCTTCCCCCCAGAATGTGAGATGGTACCTAATGCTGAGAAGATGTGTGACGGTTACCTCCTTCCCTATAGAAGGCAGCAATCATAGCGGTGACCTTCTGGAGGGCAAATGCAAAACAATGTCTGAGCCAAGTCTGTCCGTGCCGCAGGCAGCCCCACTTGGCACATTGGCGCGATCGCAGAGCAAACAGGACAAGAGCTTTACCGCGCTGCCTCTGGCTGGCTGGGCGCCCACCTGGCCTCTCTTCACCCATGGCTCAGGTTTCATCCTTCTAAATATAAGGGGTCCCCGACACTGCACAGTGTCCCTGGGCCTTTTGGGGGCAACGCAGTCTATCATGGATCACTACAAATTGTTTTAAACTATGCATTTTCTGAGAAAACTTTAGAATCACACTTATTTTAAAAGAACAACTTGAAGAAAAGAAATAGGTAAGTGACTATATCACAGCTGTGTTCGTATTTTTTCTTTTACCTCTAGGTTAGGTTTATTTCAGACTAAACTTTATTTATTACGTGGTATTAAATTATGTTGCTCTGCAAAAAATATTCATGTGGGGGGAAAAAACGAAGCTCCATGTTATTGACGTCAACCTCTTTCCCTGTCCCTGCGACTCAGACTGCTGCTCACAGACTCTGGTACTTGCTCACGGAAACAACGATGGCATCGGTACCTTCTGTTGGTTGCCTCCTGGCCAAAAACCAGTATTATCGGAGTAAGTAATGTCATCAGTAGAGAATATGGTACGAAGGGATGTCTGAAGGATTTTAGTAACCCTGGTCATTTTAAGGTAGAAGGAAGACTGATGTGACAGTGAAGGACAGAGGAATAGAATTCATTGGAGACCTCTCCATATCAGTTTTACCAAGGAAGGCTCATTTCTTTAACTATGTTATATTGTATCAATAAGGCCTCTAACACATAAATAAGTGATCAGTTTACATTTCAGAATAATGTTTAATTTCAATACATTGCCTTTAATAGGGTACATTAAAAACCAATACTTTTATAAAAATAAAATATTCATTTTTGTAGAAAAGAAGGGATATCAAAACTATGCTTCGTGTGTTTTCTAATTTCGACTTTGCTGCTATGGATAATAGGTTAGCATCTACCATGACAGTTTTATCTATCCATCTGTATTTATAGCTCAATAGAAAATTGTAGCTTCTTAAACTCAGAAATTTCATTAAATAAAATAATGCACTTTAAAACCAATTTATCGCCCTGGCTGGTTTGGCTCAGCTGGATAGAGTGTCAGCTTGCGGACTAAAGGGTTCCAGGTTCAATTCCAGTCAAGGACACATGCTTGGGTTGTGGGCTCAATCCCCAGCAGGGGGCGTGCAGGAGGCAACCAATCAATGATTCTATCATCATTGATGTTTCTTTCTCTCTCTTACTCTCTTCTTCCTTACTCAAATCAATAAAAATATATCTAAAAAAACAACTTATCATTTATTGAAAATATGCCAGCAACATGTAAAACACTCTTATTTCAAGATGCTTCTAACTCTCTGTTGGAAACATCTATTGATTTATCCTTTTTACAGTAAGATTAAGTTAGGCTCATTTACTTATTGTTATTATAGTCACATAAGTTATTTTTATATTCTGGTATTTTAAAAGACTTATATGTTTCAAATACAACTATAACATAAACTTTCTATTTTTTAAAAGTAACTCCTTTACTTCTAAATATGATGGCCTTTGAATGCTATTTAAATATATACACATGTAATATTTTTAATGCAATAAAACAATACTCATTCTTGATTTTATATTTCCTACAATTTTAAATTTTATAGCACTTAAAACGTATTTTAAATTCTATATCTACATCTGTGGAAAGAGAATGTTCATCACTGAAAGGTATCATATTAGTAAAAAATGTAATAAGCTTTATTATTCTGGAAGGCTTTGCTATTGATAATTTACTTAATTTTTAAATTCATAAATGTATGAGCTAGAAGTAAATAATTTCAAACCATACTACTTGAGAGTTTAGAAATAAATATGTATTTGTTTGCTTGTTATGTAATTGTTCATTCATTATTGTTTCTTTTGTAGAGCCCAGTATTTCTTCAGTTAGCTCTGACTCTGTTAACTTCATAGATGAAGACAAGCACCTTCAAGGTATTTAGTTTATTTCTTATCAGCATCACCCTCATTATTTTTGTTTTGAATCTCTCAAAAATTTTGATAAGGTCCTAGCCAGTTTGGCTCAATGGATAGAGTATTGGACTGAGGACTGAAGGGTCCTGGATTGGATTCCTGTCAAGAGCATACACCGGGTTGTGGGCTCAATCCCCAGTGGAGGGTGTGCAGGGGGCAGGCATCAATGACTCTTCTTATCCCTGATGTTTCTATCTCTCTCCCTCTCCCTTCTTCTCTGTCTGAAAATCAATAAAAATATGTTTTTTATAAGGAAGTAATATAAATTTTATTTGACAGGGTTACCTGATATGGCAGAATCCACCTGGTGGCTCAAATCCTTTTTTCATTCTGAACCTGTGCTTTCAACTGAAATAAGAAAAGAACTGTTGGCTAGCGGGTAAGTCATGGCCTTTTCTGATAAGGGTATCTCTTACTTACTAATAGCGAATGAAGCAATGCAGGTAGTAATTCTTAACCAATAAGATAAATTGTTTCTTGAGGATGGTGTAGGCTTTGGTATAAAGCATAACTGTGGGATAGAGAGGGACAATTGCTCCCTGTTTTCGTTAATTAACCATAAGTCAGATCATGAGCACTTTCATTCTATCACTGAAAAGTCATATGTCAATTTTTATTATTATTTAGGAGGGATAGATTGGGAATCAGAGGCAAGGTTCTAAATGATTTTTTCATTAATACCGTTAGGAAACAAATCACAGTTATCTAGTTGCTGTCTTAGATAACCAAGGTTAGTCCCACTAGGTTTTTAAAAGTATTTATTTTGTCTTTTAGATGAAGGCTGACACTAACACTGATGACCAGCCACTAAACTGCATTAAAATAATGATGACATTCATAGGTTCTGATATTAAAATTGAAGAGTTTTGATTAATTTTCTAATAGAATCAATTTTTAAATAGAATCAATTAAGTATTGATACTTTTTAAAATCAAAGGAAGGCAATTTTCAAAAAGACACATTCTTTACTCTATTAAGTGCATTGATTTGAATTATCTAGGTAAGTATTTTACTTACTTTCTACTTTAGTTGGATATAAAGACAACTTACAGATAAGCATTGCTCAACTGCAATTTAATGAACATAGTTGTAATAACTGTCTATTTTATACAGCACTACCTGTTGATTCTGACAATCAAAATGCCTCTACCTGCTGAGCTGCTACAAATGCGAACAACACCCTTCAGCTCTCAAGTTATTCCAGATAACTCTTTTCCATCGTAAAATCCATCTATGTTCCTAAAAATTTAATTATTTTCAATTAAAAAAATTTTGGACTCTTTATGTTTGTTGAATTATTTATAATGCCTTAAAACGAAAGCATTGATACCTAATAAAATGGTTTAAAGGTCAATGGATTCAAATGTGTAGAAGAGTTGTAAAAATTTTATTTTTAATCATGAACATTGAAAATAGCGAACTACCCATAAATACATTACCTGTTTGATACATTGCTATACATCTAAACAACTGTTCATTGTGTGGACTTTAAAATTTATAATTTTAGCAATATTTAACAACATAGAAAATTATGATACAATGTTAAGTGAAAACTGTAGAATAATCTATATATGGATGATTTTAGTTATATTAAAAGTATATATGCATAAGACTGAAAGGCAATATAACAAAATAGTAATAGTGGCTATTTTGGGAGGATTATGGGTAGTTTTCATTTCCTTATCCATATATTTCTATAACTCTAATTTTCTAATGTTAAAAAAGGAGCACTGGAATTAATTTTCTGAATGTAAATATATCCTACATTAGTTTGAGTATTTCCTACTTTCCTCAATATTGGGTGGATAATACCTAAGCAGTTTCAATGTAAAAGTTTCTGTATACTGCTTACAAATATTTTTCAATGTAAGATAATAAATGATTAGAAATTAGGGATGATGAACTGACTGTGAGGTAGATAATCATATGGTGTTTCAAGGCAGATGTTGCATTAAACATCCCGTAAAGTATACATGACTGTTTATTATCCACTGTCTTCTTATCCCATCACGTAACCATGATAAATAGCAAGACTATTTTCAGCAGTGGGCACTACTAACCACTTACTTCTCTTTCTAAATGGGAAATGCATTCCTTCAATTTGGTGACCATCTATCACTTTGCTGTCAATGAAGGAGACTCATATCTCACTTTGGCCCAAGAGCATATCATTGTTTACACATCATTGGTTGTGGATTTTTTTTTCCTGGTTGTTTGCATTTATAAATTTTATACATTTGTAGAGGCCAGTTAAAGTTTTGGACTATATATTTCACTTGGCTTTAGTCTAACATCAAATTACATTAATTGAAGATTGATAAGCACTTATCACAATTATAATCTTACATCTGTTTGTCTAGTTACTTGTTTTCCCCACTGCACCACAAAATACCTGAGGGCTGGGTCTTATCTGTTCTCCACAGTTTATACCCAGATTCAGACACATCAACAAGTATCTGTCAAATGAAGGACAATGGTTCTTTAGGGAGAACTGGCTCCTCTCTTAAGAAGTGTTACATTTCAGCCAAAACCGGTTTGGCTCAGTGGATAGAGCATAAGCCTGTGGACTGAAAGGTCCCATGTTCCATTCCTGTCAAGGGCATGTACCTTGATTGCGAGCACATCCCCAGTAGGAGGTGTGCAAGAGGCTGCTGATTGATGATTCTCTCTCATTGATGTTTCTCTCTATTCCTCTTTCTTCCTCTCTGTAAAAAAATCAAAAAATATATATATTTTTTTAAAAAAGAAGTGCTACATTTCAGTAAAATATAGTAAATACTAAATTAATAAAGAAAATATTTTTCAAATAGTGATAATGCAGTAAAGCAAACAAAAGGTATTCTGTTGAAGAGTGATTGAGATAAGGACAAAGGTTGAGGGAAGGCTGCCTTCCTTGGTGTAGTTAGGAAAGACATCATTGAGAAGGTGACATGGGGACTCAGTCCTAAAAGAAGGGAAGGAGCCAAATTTGTGAAAAGTACTGGAGGCAGATAAAATAGCCAGTGCCATTGCCATCACGGTTGTCAGGTGACAGCTGCTTTGAAAGAATTTGTCAGTCTGATCTGACTGGCAGGCATTTTAGAGACAAAACAGGCAGGTTTTAGGGAATAAAGAGGGTCCAAGCTCCAAAATGCTTAACATATTTTCACAGAGGATAGAGAAATGTCAACAGATACTGGGAAGAGGAATACATATTTTCACAGGAGATGGAGGAATGTTGCAAGATAAGGGGGGAGATAAAGAAGAGGGCACCATGTGGATTTTGGACTTCGAAACTGGTATCCTACAAAGGAGTGACCAATTAGGAAAGCACAGGGTCACAAAATGGGGAATGGGTCCAATTACAAGGAAGCATAGACAAAAAACTTCCAGCCTTTAAAACCTTAGAAAAGGGGGCTTAGTTGGTTACCCCCTTAGGACTCCCTCCCTACACAGGAGTCTGTATTTGCTTCCAATAAATGGCCACCCTTTTACTAACAAGTCCATTTAGTCTGAGAATTTTATTCGTCAAACTTTGTGAGGCAAGAACCTGCAAGGGGGGAGATCTGCTCCCCACACCCCATGTTTCACAACGACTTATGCTTTTTGGACTGCCTTTATCATTTAGCATGACCTTCAAATTAGGCAACAGTGAACACTCTTCCAGAGTGTTTGGCGTGAATCAGGCTCTGTAAATATCGCTTGGAAAAGACACAGAATTTAAATCTCATTTATCCAACATTTCTGCTAAAAGGAATCGTGTTGATTATTTAGGCTAAGGGTTTTTTTTTTTTGTTTTGGTGTTTTTTTTTAGGATTTTTCACTTAACAGTTTCTGCCCTAATAATGGATTGGTTGCCAAAGTTTCTAATATTTTAATATTTTCAGCAAACTATTCTTATTAGTGGGATTTTTAAAAAAATACTCTATTTGAAAACCAGTTGGTTCTAGCCAATTTCTCATAATTACTGTGTTCAAGGTTATCAACCTATTTAGAGCATAAAGAATCTATAAATACTAGTTGTTACTTCAATGCCTGGTTATATACACAATTATGAATAGCATCCTTGAACGAGAACAATGACAGCAAGAAAACATCACTTTATGGATCAAAGGACTGAGAGAGGTTCATAGAGGAATAAATATTGGAGTATATTGAGTATAATTTCCTTAGATAGGACATAATATTATAGAAATTAGAAATACCAGGAATGGAGTATTTTCTCCAAAAGAAGCCTATTTTCTATGCAATGTCATATCTACAATTACACATATTTTGGGAAAAAAATTATTTTGTAATTTAAACCAAACCTTAGCATTCATCAGAATTGCCCAGAGGATTTGTTAATTTGGTGTGGAGAAGTTGGATGCCTCTTTCCCAGAAAATTTTTTTAGAACAATAGGTTGAAACAGAGTCTTTTTCACTTTCCTCTGGATAGATATTTTAATGTTATCATAGAGCTCTTGATCCTTAATTTTGACAATACTGTTTAATATGTATAGTAATCATAAGTGGCAACAGAGGAACACAATACAAGGAGATATCTATACATTTCCATGTATATAAAAAGCCCATGGTCGTAATGCCCACACAACCAGTCACCAGGAGGCGCACTGATAGGTCCCACCTCCTGTGGTGGGTCTGGCACAGTGGGTTTGGGGACTCCAATTTCATGCACTGGGCTTCTAGTCTTGTAATAAAAAAAAGTGCTAATGGCTTTGGATAAAGGATATAAGTTAGAAGGTTCCCTTTCACTTCTGTCATCTCTAAGACTGCTTTATATTTTCTCAATTTGTAATTATATAGATAACACTTTTCTGGAATCTAGGGTCTTAAGCTTTCTCCTTCATTTTCAAATTCCAGTCCTATTCCAGAAAACTTTACCTTATTCCTAACAAACTAAGTTTGTTTTTTAAAGTCAATAAGGAAATGCTGATGTGTTGTTTTTGTTTTTCAAACAGAAAAGTAAGTACAGAGAAACAAATTCTCTTTGAGAAGGAAGTATTTGTTGTTGTTTTTCATGAGGGAGGGCAAGAGGTGATGGTCTTATAACTGTACTGACAATAACATAAGGAAATAAAATTGCTGAACAAAACAGTTCCATATTGACTAGAATTTAGTTCTGAGTTTCCCCTAGACATTGTAGGTCAAATGAAAGATATAAAGAAATTATTTCAGGCCTTACAGACCAGACATGGTACTATAATCCATAATCAGATAAATAGATAATTTAAAATTAATCTGGGCAATACATGGACACCTCCAATTCTGAGGCTGAAGAAAACATGCAACAACTCTATCATGCTTCTGGGAAATGTGAACTCCAAGGATGGTGATAGTCTGTATACATAATTTGATTTACTTTAATCAGCATGTGTTGAATGTATTATGTATTGAAATAATAGAACATTTCCACTTTACAAGGCTACTGCCTACACAGTGTTCTATATTCACGAAGCATTCACTTTGGGTATTTTCTGATTAATATTAAAATTAAGGAAATTTGGTAATGAAGAAGTTATTATAGCAAGTTGTATTAGTGCTGTTGCAAGGACCAGACTTGCTGCAACGATGGACCAATAATTACAGGAATAAATTGTCTGTGGCCTATCTAAATGAATCAAAGTCTAAAGAAATCTCTAAGCGATTCTAGGTTATGGAATAATTTCCATTCAACAAATGCAAAGTAACAACAATGTGGCAGACACTGTACTACCCTATTTCCCTGAAAATAAGACAGTGTCTTATATTAATTTTTTTCTCCCAAAATTGCGCTAGGTCTTATTTTCAGGGGATAGCTTATCTTTCCATGTGCTAGGTCTTATTTTTGGAGGATGTCTTATTTTTGGGGAAACACGGTATGCACTGGAGAGCATCAGTGAACACAAGAAGCATGACCAGACTTTGTGGATTACAAAT